GATACGGTAAAGTGCTGCTCGGCGCCTCTCCGAAGAGAGGGCTACGTTGGTGTTCCCTAAGAAACAGAAACACCTTTGTGCCCATTCACGGGTATCTCGTGCCCATTCACGCACCGTATCTGGGGTAAAAGTGTCAGCCCTCTCATAGGCTTCATCCGCCATATCCATGATTCTGGCTAGTGGCCCAATGGCATCTAGCAGCTTATCTTGCGCTCCTTTAAAGCCGCGCTCTATGCCCTTGCGCGGATCCCGACCCCCTCGGGACATGAACGTAGTCATGAGCGGGTCAAACTCGGGGGTGTGCGTCACTTTGTCCGGTAGACTAGGGCGAGGGCATTCGGATCTCATCCGGTTTCTTACTTCCTTGTCTAGCGGTTTTCTGAGCCAGAAGTGCATAAACCTTGCCAAATGCTCAGGTGGTGACCATTCTTCCGAACGGGGGTGCCGGATGTTTCTTGGGTCGAACATTTGGAGGCCCGAATTGTCGAGGAAAATCTCCGAGCCCTCCTGTGGGTTATCAATGGATGTTGCCATGGAGTTCTGGGGCTCACCCAGACCCTGTTCCCTTATGAAGTAAGGGTCAGAGTTGGCCGTGGAATCCCTGTCGGAGTCCCCCTGGTCAGAGGCTGCCGCCTGCCATTCATCCAGCACAGCTAGTGCCTGAGTGGGTTCTACATCTTCCTCACCTGAGGAAAGTTGTGTGGCATCGTGGGTAGCACGAACCGTGGCTTTCCTGCGATCAGCAGGGGCTTTCCCTTTAGCCTTGCGTGGGGTTACATTGCCCTTCCAATGGCGTTTTCGCCGTTGGGAGTGTTCCCTGGAAGAGTCAGAGTCTTCGGAGTCCGCCTTATAATGAACCCGTTTAGAGGTGGGCCTGGGAACCTCAGGGTTTGTTTGGAGCGACTTGGAAGCGGCTTGTTCCATGGCTGCAGCCACGGCTGCTGTTATCATGGCCTGGAGGTCTGGGGTTTGTGATTCCTCCATTATGAGGAGTGAGGATTCGGGGCTCACCCGGTAAATTGCGTGAGGGCACTAGGCACGATTAATGGAGAGGCCTGGGGACCGGGGTGGTATGGTATCAGGACTAAATAACCTGTGGTTAGAGACCGGTAGGTCGTAGAGGAGAGGGCTGATTCACTGGGGCTCACCCAGGTGATCGGAACCTGCATAAACAGGACCGTTTAGCAGCATAAAATGGGGGCTCACCCCGGCCAGAATAAGGTGCAGACCAACTGGCTAAACCAACCCCAAGTGTAAGGCACTAACCTGGTCCCACTGAGTGAAAATGGTAAGGCTTTTCAATTGCTTGTTGGAATAGCAGGAGCAGAAAAATCAGGCAGTGTCTATCTCTTTAAGATGGCCGCCGGACTGACAGGCTCAGTGTGTGGAGAATAGTACCTCCCCCAGTTTGGGCGGCAAACTGTAAGCTTGCCATTCGCATAAAACTGCCGAACGTGAATAGAAGATCTATGCGAACTGCCGAACGTGCGAATAGAAATAGATGCGAACGTTTAAAAAGGCGATCGCGTCAAACTGCCGAACGAAGCGTTCGGTAGTTAGAAACGAATAGTCAATGTGCGGTCGCGCGGGCATTCGAATAAAACAGGCGAATGCGCAAAACTACCGAATAACGCGTTCGGTAAAAAGAAACAGAAAACTGTTAAAGAGAAACAGAGAAAATGGAGGGAAAGTACAGACGGCGGGAAAGCCGTGAAAGACAGTTAGGGAGCCAGACAGGGTCCCCTGAGCATTAATAGGGTAAATATATAAAGGTACAGTGAAAACAAAAGGCATGTAAATGAAAAATGTATGTAGAATAGATAATACAAAATTTGGTACTTAACTTGTGATGGAGCAGCAAAGAAAGAGGAAATGATGTCATAGGTCTCACCTCTTATACCCTATTCTACGTTGTGATTGGTTAAAAGTTTTGTCACTCATTTCTTTGCTGCTATGGAGATAGTAAAGAAAGATTATGCAAAAATACGAAGCCTCCTGTCATGTGATAAAATTATAATATCTTGAGTCCTAGTTTTGTTCAACCAGCCTTAACAAACCACCTTTATCATTATGTATATACATTTTTTCAATTGAACTTTAATTTGTCACTGATCCCAATGCAAGCTTAATCCAAATAGCAAACATTTATATTACAGCTTCAATATTGGTTAAGAAAACCTTATCAGTTGTTGATGACGTAAAATCTTTGAATTTCATTGAAGAATTTATCCAACAGGGACAATTAATGAGATTACATAAAGGGCATTCTTAGCTGTCACCATCAAGTATCTGCCATCTGGGTCTGGGTCTGGGACCACACTATTCACCTGAAGCAGGCATCTCTTGTGGATTAGGATAGCCACCCTGTTATGCTTCCTGTTAGGCTTCCATTATAAATGTTATCTTTTATAGTGACATGCGTTATCAGGGATAAGTGAGTTTCTTGGAGAAAAGCTATATTGGAGTTTAGGCACTCAGTAAAAGGCAACGTTTTCTGGGAGCATTAAGACCCTTAACGTTAAGGGAATTAATTTTGAGTGTCACGATGGCGACCCTGGGAAAGCTGCTGCATCAGTAATTGCTGCACTAGGGTCCCCAGGCCTGGGCCACCCCACCCACAACCCAAGATACACCCCCCCGGAGATTGCCCCCTGGTCCCTTCACCCATGAGCTGCTGGAAAAAAAGTGAGAGATGGAGAGAGGAATAAGAAGTAGGAGAAGATAAATAAAAGTGCAACAACATCTGGTCTTACATATCACCAGATATTGGGGAGGTGCATGTACCAAATCCTCTGCTGGGATACCAGTTTTGAGGAGGTAGAGGGTCATGGACTGTATAACCTCAAGAAAGCCAACCACAAACTTTGAACTATAAATTAAAAACAGGTATAAAGGAGGGGTGTTACCAAGTTTCCGCAAAGGAGGCTCCACTCCCCACATCAAAGCGTAGTACCGTCGGCACAAAGCATGGCGCAACACTCATCCTCGATGCCAGGCTCTGCACCGAGGGACCCCCCCAATGCAGTGACCCAGCAAGCATAAGCTCCCACCCACAGGTCCCCCCAGATGCCAGCACACAGAGCCGTCGGCACTGAGTACCGCACTGCACTCAAGAGATGCCGGGCCCAGACGACAGTGCGGCCCTCCACAACACCAACTGCATACACTTAGTATTTATACTCATATTAATTGACACTATTATATATATTACTGCCATCTCATGGGCATTCAGTAGCATTGGAATTATGTGGCACTCATACCCACAAAAAACACCATTAAGGCTCCAAGCTGAGGACGTCCACCGCAGAGTAGACATGCCCCCTCAACATGCCCCTCAAGTCAATGTGTGGGACCATTGGCACAAAGCGTGGCACCACGCCCACCCACCATGCCAAGGGCACCCCCAATGTAGTGAACCCACCATCATAATGAGCCAAGGCAGACACAAAGCCCAGGGGCAGAGACCCCAAATACGCAACAGGGAATCAGTGACCCCCCCACAGGACCCCCAGATGCCAGTGTGCACTGCACCGCACCCAAGCGATGCCATGCTCGGCACCCAGGGCCTAGATGCCGGGGCAGCTACCCACAACACCAATGGCTTACTCTTAGCATTAGTAATCATATAAATCTACACTATTACATGATATTGGCATCCCATAGGTGTTTAGTAGAATTGGAATTATGTGGCGCCCATAGCCGCAAAAAAATACTAATGCACCAGCCAGTGGACAAAGGCATACGATTGAGCATGTAGGCAATTATAACAAAATAGAGCATCCCCCAACAGCTCCCAGAGCTCCAAGTTGATTATGTCCCCAGCAGAGTAGTCTTGCACCCCCATCGTGGCTATTGGGGAAGCCATCCAGGACAGAGAGCCATCCAGGCGTAGGGAGGGCGAGTAGGGTGTTGAGTTTTATAACAATGAGGGGCTGCATAAGTTAAGCAGTCAGAATTAAATGCAAATAAACAGTAACTATTAAAACCACAGTGGTGAGGTCTGTAAGCTCTGCCCCGCAGAACAAGGACCTTGGACGTCATGCTGAAGGGATCCCTCAGTCAACAAGGTGGCATTGGGATATACCGAGGACTATAGCTCTGGACTACCCCAGGCCCCCACTGAATCAAAAGGGGAAGGTGTGTGCATTCCCTGTTCCTTCAAGTGACCATCCCAGCAATGACAACTCCTCTCCCTCGTCCCAACATTATCCCCCTTCCGTGGGGAGACTGAGCAAAAGGCAGCATCCGCGATAGGTGGTGCCCAGGAGCTTCGCCAGCTGCTCCGCCCCCACTATCCATCCAAATGTCTGCTGTGCCTAAAGCCCAAGTACCTAAGATTGGAAAAAGGCTGTGCCCTTTGATGCTGATGCTGGGAGGGACGAGTAGGGGCCAGCTTGTTGGTGGAAATCGTGCCTCCTATTCTCCAGCTGTGTACCATTCTCAAGGGAGGGTGGGAAGTCCCTCACTGGCAATCCGGCAGGGTCGTCAGATTCTGAGTGGTGATTCCAAGCTCTGTTAGGAAGCGTTTAGGGTCAGCCCAGGTTGCATTAAGAATGACTTTCTGTCTTTAAAAGCAATCTACTTAAACGGGTGGCCCCAGGCGAAGCGCCCGCCATGTGCACGTAGTCATAGGCGTGCGCACGGGGTGTGCCGGGTGTGCCTGGGCACACCCTAATCCCCGTGCGCACCCCTATGGTTTGAGTCCTGCAGGAACAGCGTTCCTGCACTCTTTTGAGCAGGAACGCTGTTCCTGCAGGCACTCAGTGCCCCCTGTCTCACCTCTTGCCCCTGTCATTGGAGGGCAAGAGGTGATGATCCCCCCCCGCTCAGCCGCGGCGAGGGAGCTCTCTGCTCTCTGCTCTCTGCTTCCTCTCGCCGCGCGCTGATGCCGGGAGCCGGAATATGACGTCATATTCCGGCTCCCAGCTCCAGCAGACAGCCCGCGCGGCGAGAGGGAGCAGACAGCAGAGAGCAGAGAGCTCCCTCGCCGCGGCTGACCTGCGCCCGCCCCCACTGGACCCCAGGGACAAGTCCACCAGCACTCCAGGTAGGATGCTGGGTGGACATTTAAAAAAAAAATTAAAATATAATAATTTGTGTGTGTGTCTGTGAGTGTGTGAGTATGTGTCAGTGTGTGTCTGTGAGTGTGTGTATGTGTCAGTGTGTGTCTGTGAGTGTGTGTCAGTGAGTGAGTGTGTGTGTGTGTCAGTGTGTGTGTCAGTGTGTGTGTGAGTGTGTCAGTGTGTGTCAGTGAGTGTGTGTGTGTGTGTGTCAGTGTGTGAGTGTGTCAGTGTGTGTCTGTGAGTGTGTGAGTATGTGTCTGTGAGTGTGTGTGTCAGTGAGTGTGTGAGTGTGTGTCAGTGTGTGTCTGTGAGTGTGTGAGTATGTGTCTGTGAGTGTGTGTCAGTGTGTGTCTGTGAGTGTGTGAGTATGTGTCTGTGAGTGTGTGTGTCAGTGAGTGTGTGAGTATGTGTCAGTGTGTGTGTCTGTGAGTGTGTGAGTATGTGTCTGTGAGTGTGTGTCAGTGTGTGTCTGTGAGTGTGTGTCAGTGTGTGTCTGTGAGTGTGTGAGTATGTGTCTGTGAGTGTGTGTGTCAGTGAGTGTGTGAGTATGTGTCAGTGTGTGTGTGTCAGTGAGTGTGTGTGTTTCTGTGAGTGTGAGTGTGTGTGTCTGTGAATATATATATACGTATATATATATATATGTATATATATGTGTGTATATATATATATATATATATATACACACACACACACACACACACACACACACGCGCGCGGCGTGTGTTTGTGCTTTAGGGTGCACACCCTAATGCAATAGGCTGCGCACGCCTATGCACGTAGTATGTCAGTGATGGGCTTCCTTTCTCCTGAGCAGGGTCACTGGCACCAGATCTTGGTATATGGATAGATCTCGCCCGTGGTTTTGTATGGGGCCCTTACGGCTCCTTCACATAACTGCCTTTTTAGGTTAGGTCCTATGATGTCCCTTGGTTGCTCTGTGTCTGACCATTGTGATCGCAGGGCCCTGTCCACTCTGCTTATATTCCAGCGGTCCTCTGGCACCGCAGGCAGCATGGGTTTAAGGATGGTGAGCACTGTGTCTATCAGTGGGCCCACTCCTGGTCTCTCTGGTAAGCTGCGAATGTGGAGATTATTTCTGTGGGATCTATTTGCTAAATCCTCCAGGAATGCTTTGCTGATTCCAGCCATGTGGTTAGTGCAGTTTCATGCGCTGCGACCGCATTGTGGGCTGTCACTGTAGTTTCCACTCGTTGTTGGAGTTCGGCCTTCGCCTCATGGAAGTTGCTCTTGATTTCGGTGGCTTGGTATGTCTTTACCTCTGCAAGTTTTGCCAGAATCTGGTGGGTGTCTGGTTGCTGAGAGCCCTGCAACAGCAGTGTATCTTACCCTGCAGGTGAGCTGGGAGTGCGATGGCTCGATTCGCCACCATCTTGCGGCTAGTGGTGAGTATCGCAGGAGCACGCAAACATGTCCAGAACCGTTGCCACTGGATCTGGGTACTTTTTGGAGGGCTTCAAGCTGCCCTCTTGTCCATGGGATCGGGTGGTAGAGGCAGGACCCTGGTTTCTGGCATGATAATTGCTAAAATTAGCTGTTGGCAATGAGGCTATGGAGGATGTGACGAAAGTGACCTCGCCACTGGTTTTTGGAGGGGCATGTTTGTCAGCATCTTGCCCCAAGACTATGGGCCCTGCTAAAAGACATGCTAAAAAGTCTATTTGGGCTTATTGGATTTTAAAACACTTTGTCTGCCCCTTTAAAGCCATGGGAAAATGTGCCTCTTCCCCTCCCCCTTTTTCCTGTCCTATTGTTCTCCAGCAGGGCGTTGTCCCAGGGACACTGCCAGACCAGTTGCAACTGGCTGCTTTGTCCCTCCTCAATCTCCCATCAGCCTTTGCTATTTTCTGACCTCACCCTTCCTTGTACTATAGGGCACTTTTAACATTGAACATATTGAGTGCTCAGATCCAAGCTATCTGGGGATATGTTGGACATATAGGTTAAACATTGTATTATAAGAGTTATGTATTTTTATGTGGTTTTTGTAACAATTTTTGGACTTAGAGATATTTTCTGCCTGTGGTAATTGAGTTAGTCCATCGTGTTTGGTAATTGTATCACAGGCAGAGGGGAGGCTTTGTGTACATTAGCTGGGAGTGTCTAACTGTACTGTACTGTGTTGATTGGCTGTTGTAACTTTGTGTCCTGTGATCCACAAGGTCCACGTGGATGGTAACCTTGTAGGGAAATGTGTATATAAGAAAGGTCTGTGTGATCATTAAACCAGTTCGATTTCACCCTCAATTTAGATTCCTGTCTCTTATTGGGGGAAACAGCTACAAGGGATTGCTAATCTCTTCATACTCCCTTGGATAATCACTAAGTTATTTTAAGAGCTTGTTCCTGCTTCACTCTCTGGGGAAAGAGAGGTTCAGCCACTGGAACCTGGAGCCTTGTCGTAGGCCTTGTCGTGGGGTCTGCCGTGGTTATGGTCTCTGGTGGAGTGCTTGGAGCCCTCAGGAAGCGCTAGGAGCATCCTTCAACGGAGGTACCCAGTCGGGGTGCCAGGTGATCCGTTACAGAGGAGCACTACTGAGAAGCATCCAGCTTCCTCCCCGGTCAGGCCATGCCCCCCACATGTTATAATTTTTACCTCTTTAAACAACTAACATTGGTAGGTTAAGCCATGGGACTAGTAATGGTCATTTGAGATTTTCATTTTAAAACTGATGCGTGTAAGCCATACAAATGCAATAAATGGAACAAAAATGTACTTGCTGAACTATTTATGCAGGCAAGTTCCTAGTACAGAGTATGATGTGCATTGATTTGGCAGCAAGAAGTGCATGTTTCCTTTTATTAGCACCAGTGTGACACTGTGTATCAACAATGCCATTTGTAAGTGACATTGGCATCCTTTGTGTAATTATGGTGCCATCCTGTAGCAACTATGTCATGCCAACTGCAGAATCAAAATTAAAGAGTTTGGAAATTTAGGCTAAAGTGGCACTTATTTAAGAATAGGCTATCCTGTGAGAAGTGATACAACATTTAAATTAATGTTTTAAGTTAATTGAATAATGCAGGTAAGGCAGTTATATATCTGAATTCTTCTCTCCGTGGTCTGTATTAAAATTGTATCAGTCTATGAAGCAAAATGGCAAGCAAGGTATTTCAGTGTACATTTAATTCACACCTATCATTTGCTTTAGCATTTTTAGATCATTGTCTACAATAATTAAATACAGAATGTTCCTAGTTTTACAGCAAAGAATGATATGTAACTATTAGTCACAGACAGGTTCTAAGCTTGTGAAGAGTAAGAATGAGGTATTAGAGAATATGTTAAAAGAACTATATTTAACAACTTAATTGCCAGTGGTATTTAAGAATATGTTACAAAAATAAAAATGTAACAATTTTATTTTTAGTGAAAATATTTTTTCAACATAGAACATTATGACACTATATGAAATGGTTGCCAAAACGGCATTAAAAAAGCAGTAAGGCTGTATGTATTCTGTGTCTATTCAAGCCAAAAAGGATCAGACCTATAGGTGCGCAGGGCAGAATTAGAATAAGGGAAGTATATATACCGTAGGTCTTTGGCAGCATGATTTCTTTGTGCTAGCCACCCACTCAGTCAAGGATCAATGAGTCTGCCAGGTTTGCAACACTTGACAAATATTGAGGATTGTGGTCACACAGCTCTATGTTCAATTAGGTCTTGTCTGCTCCGAACTAGAGAAAAAGTTTACTCGTATAAGTTTGACACTGTGACATATGGCATATAAGTTGCCATCTTCTATTTAGAAGTAACACATCAGCTTGGCGCTATCTTTCTATCTCACTGACAACAGATATTATAAACCCTGGGAACAGCCAGCAGCTCACAGCATGAGAGGGGAGAAAATAACCAAAAGAAAGAAAGAAACTAAACAATTAGAGATAGAAGTTGAAGATAAATTGAAAGAACACACATAGGAGAAGAAAGAGTTTTTATGCTTGTTGGGCAGTCAAGTATACCACAACTAGTTTGTTTATGCCTTTCTAGTCATATGGCATCTGACAGTAATATGACAGAATGTGTTTGTACCTTTAAGTACAAAAATACAGCATTGCCTATACATTAAAATAATATGTTTTTAATTTAGGCTTTGGATTTAATGCACGGTATGGTAACAAATTATAGCCTAAGCAACATAGATTTTGAGTGATGATGTTTGTATATGTCTTTGGCAGATATAATTGTATATTTGGATACTTGGAAAGGGGTTTCCCTTTATATTCATTTTACATGTGTCATGTTATTTGTGATTTCAATACTTTATTTCCTTGAAGAAAAAAACTTTTTTTAAATAAAGAATTTAAAATAAATGTGTCACTGTTGCATACTAGACAGAGATATCCACATTGCTCACACGGCAAATTCTGTGGCTACAGCACACAGCACTAATTACTATAATAAAATGACTTTAATGAATTTGACATATCTAAGAAAAAATGAAATTACACACAATAAAATTAGTTTTACTTCATAATGTCACAAGTGAGTGTGTGTTTGTCTGTTCCTAGGCTTGTATCTGCATTTACGTATGTGCCTTCACTGGTTTGACATTTTATTATTTGCAGTTTCCGCCATTAATTCAACCTCTCTCTATATTAGTCATCACTTACATGCAGTGCCATCACAGTTAGTCATAGAGAATCGTTGCATTCAATGCCCCAATGCTCCTCCAGGGTGACATAATGTGGGGAGAAGACAGCAGCGATATCGAGGGCAACTCGGCTATGATGTAAAGGTGAGTAAAATCATTTTTATTTAATATTAAAGGCACACAGACTCTCTTCCTGTCTCCTTAACTCCTTAAAGCCATCAGACCACCAGAGAGTTGCGGTGGGGAAAAAAGTGTGGATTAAAACCCCTTCCACCTGAAGTAAGTGAATAGTTAATACATTGCTAAACACAAATACACACACCAGACAAGTCATAAGACTTTCCCACAGAAATCCCACTTTAGCAGGGCTCTGACTACTGCAAGGCATTCTGGGTAGGCATATGGTTTGACTGGTGTGTGTATTTGTGTTTAGCAATGTATTAACTATCCACTTACTTCAGGTGGAAGGGGATTTCATCCACACTTTTTTCTCCACCACAACTCTTTTGGTATGTACTTTACATGTAACCTCAAGCCTCCATAGCAAGCCAGTAACCAACCTTGTAATAAACGTTTAACTCGCAAGTTGGAATAAACTTGGAATTAATAATAACATTAATAACTAAAAATAATAACTTAAAATAATAACAAAAACCGAGTGTAAAGTCAGAGTCCACACTCCTTGCTTTCGGCAATTCAATAATATTTATTAATAGAGGCTTATCAAACAAATAAACAATACATATACATTTGAAATAGGCTAGTATATGTTGCTACTAAAACTAATCATTGACTGAATGGAAAGTAGGCTAAATTAACATAGTAAAACAGGCATAGACACGTGATACAGTTACCACTCCATTGATCGTCAGCTGAGAGTAAGAGAGAGAGTGAGCTAGTCACATGGATTTAAACAGGTTAGCCCCTCCTTCTGCTGGACACACCTCCCTCAGTCAATCCCTTAGGATGTAACAGAACCAGAGTGCCTCCTGGGGGAAGGGGGATTGCATTGGAAGGGAATGGAGGAGGAGTTTATCAACAACCCAACTGATTTTTCCTGGTGAAAGGCCATGTGCTTCACAGAGGACTCCATT